CCCCCCCGACAACATCGGCTCAGGCTCGCCCAAACTCCAAAGCGGCCTTCAGTCACCGTATGTACTGGCTCCTTGACACGCCTTGCACATTATTTTATTTTCTAGGGTGAGATACAGTGATGGATCCACATATATGGACCTAGGTTGGAAAATATCATAATTGAAGGTGATAATTATGCCGCTCAAATTAAACATTAGGGCTTTTTTAAGATAGAAAACTGAATTGTATGCTTGTTCTGAGAGAATTGTTTGCAGACTCTGCCAACTGTATCTCAAATTCAAGATCCCTCCATTTCTCGAATAGTAATTCCATTGGATACATTTCTTTCGAGAGATCCACTATTTCCTCAATCAGGTCGAGGTACATACGTATGTATCAATGTACCTCCAATTGTCATTATAAAGAAAACCATGCTCTCCCTTGAAACCTCTCTTTCCAAAATGTGTGTTGGTTCTTCCTCCTCCTCCAACTCTATTTAGTCTTCCTCAAGGAAAATAGAGGTGATAGTTAAAAAATTTAAGCAGTCCAAAATATCTTGTAGACGTGCTCTTGTTATTATTATTTTATTTTATTTTATTTTTCCATATAAAATCGATCTGCAAGTTCAGTGTGTGTGACTCTTTAAAAGCAGAATATGAGTCACACATCCCATGCCAAATACTCCGGAAGAATATAAAGGACACCGTACGAACCTGGTGAAAAGAGCATGACACTTCTACCAATTCTTCTTTTATTTAATTACCTAAACAATCATAATGTTAGTATACCTCCTTTCTAGATCAATCCTGGTATAATTTACCAAATAAAACCGGACATTGTGATCACTTAATCCTTTTTAAATTAACGCTATTATTTAAATTGGACGTACCAAAAGTATTTTTGATCATTTGGAAACTGACAAGATCATGCAACAGAAGGACTCACCTTCATGTATAAAACCAACCTTCAAGTCCAAATCTTGAACCAGGCTCCATCCATGGCTTTGACTTCGCTCAACCTTCTCCTTTTTGCTTTCACATTCACATGTAATTAGTTACCTTCAATCATTCCCTTTCTCTTCCTATCTCATAAATCTTTGTATGTTGTCTACTAATTAAGTCTGAATTTACTCATTTTTCTTACACTTTCCTTGCAGGTGTAGGAGCAACAACCTTCACATTCACCAACACCTGCCCATACACAATCTGGCCAGGCATCGAACCAGGCGCCGGTCACGACATGATTGGAAACGGTGGCTTCCAACTCCTCCCAAACGAGTCAGCCACAGTACAATCTCCATTCCCAAATTGGTCGCCGCTTCTGGCCCGCGCCGAACTGCACGTTTGACCGCCACCAGCCACGCACCGTGGCTCACCGCGCGGACTGCGCATCCGTCTGTAATCTGTATAGGCTCCGGCGCGGTTTTGCCCCTGTAACCCTAGCAGAGTTCACCCTTAACAACCCTGTCGACTACTACGACGTCAGCCTCGTCGACGGATTCAATGCACCCATGTCGATCATTCCAAGAGGATATCGGTCATCTAGATCTACGTCGTCGTGTCAGACCATAAGGTGTGACTCTGATCTGAACCAGATTTGTCCAAAGGCTCTGCAGGTTGTGAACAAGGCCGGAGATGTGGTTGCCTGCATGAGTGCGTGTTTGGCGTTTACCTCACCGGAATACTGTTGCACAGACGATTTTGCGAACCCGGATAAATGTAAACCGACGGAATATTCGAGGTTGTTCAAGAACGCGTGTCCGAGGGCATATAGCTACGCGTATGATGACCCGACGAGTATTTACATGTGCAGAGGTGCTGATTACCTCATTAATTTCTGTTGACGATAGTAGAAATCTGTAATAGATGGATAGATTTTGCAAGCTCGTTAGGGAAATGAGGGAAGACAGGTACTTGATCACAATATTCACAAGCTTAATTTCTGCTTAATCTTATAGACAAGTTAAACACATGTAGGAAACTTTCAGCAACTTTCTATGATATATCTTTGAATCCTTGCTCAAAATTTCTCAGCTTGAAACACTCGTTTTTCAGAAGTGAATGTAAGCCGTTGTTAGTCAGAGCACTCTCTGCACTTTTCATTTATTCACATCATAAATTACCTTTCATTTCTATTTCTTTGTTGAATTTTGAATCTTCAGGAGTTGTACCGTTGATATAAGAGGGATATTGGAAAATTTGTAAGAATATTCTTTGGAAGGACACCATTTATATGGTTAATTCCATGGATGAAAAAAAGTGTTTAATTAGTAGTATGTGAGTATTAGTCCCACATTAACTAATTGAATGTGTTTTAGTTAGTTTAAATTAACATATTGTTATATATTTAGTTCAGATGTTCATAGGATCACAAGACTGGATCTTATAACAGCCGAAAAGAACAACCTAAAACCCACGTCCTAAGACAGATCATGAAAGTACCCAGTGTAAAAACGGCGAAAACGAGGTTGAAGTTCAGGAAATTTGACAAAGGAAACAGTTTGGAGGTTTCCCGATCGACCGCGACCAAGGGTGCGGTCGACCGGAAACATGCATGCTATAGGGTAGTTTCTGGATCTCTGGCCGGTCGACCGCGATGCTAGGTCCGGTCGACTGTAGACCCTGTAATGAATTTTTTGGTTTCTATCGTTCTGTCCGGTCGACCGCGATGGTTTCGACGGTCGACCGCTAGTCGGGTTTGGGCCTGATTCTGGTTTTCTGTTCTGATTGGGTTTGTGTTTTGATATATATTGAAACATGTTTTTTAGGGTTTAAGCAAGGTTAAAAGGGGTTATTTGGTGCACAGAAAAGAGAGTTTTCTGAGCAATTTGTTTGGGGTTTGTGTGAGAGATTTGAGAGCTTTGTTTGAGAGATTTTGAGTGATTTTGTAATCTCTATTTGTACTCTCTTCTCTATTAGTGAAAACGTATCCTCTTCTTACCCCGTAGACGTAGACAACTTGCCGAACCACGTAAAATTCATTGTTTGTGTTCGTGCTGTTAATTTTTTATTTGTGTGACATTCTCTCTCGGCGACTTTGTGTTTTCTCGGACCCCAAAAAGAGGCTTCATAGCCCAACAAGTGGTATCAGAACACCAAGCTACGCTTGGGTTAGGTGGAGAAGTAGATTGCTTTTAAAGCTCATCTAAGGTTTCAATTGGAGACAAATGTCGGATTTTTACTATTGTGGATCTTGTCTTCCATCATGTGAGGGTGAGATCTTTTGGAGGCTCTTGTTAGGGTTTCAATTGGAGGTAAAAATCTACATTTCTCACAGTTTGTTCCGCATTGGTTTGTTAGTGTTTTGAGGAAGATGGCTGAGAAAGAAGGTGTTGAGAGTGGTACTTCTGGTGTGAAGACCGTTCAAAGTTTGAATATCCACTCTATAAAGATAGATGTGGATAAGTTTAATAGCACAAACAACTTTGGCTTATGGAGATGTGAAGTTTTAGATGCGCTGAACACGCAAAATTTGGAAGAAACTTTGGAGTTGGACGGCAAGCCGGACGACATTGAAGAAAATGTTTGGAAGAAGATGAATCGGACGGCGTGTGGCGTTATTAGGTCTTGTTTAACATAGGATCTAAAATATAATGTGATCAATAAGACTTTCACAAAGAAGATTTGGGAGATTCTTGAAGGCAGGTATTTGACGAAAAGTGTTGAGAACCGCTTGCATTTGAAGAGGAGATTTTATCATTTCCAGTTGAAGAAGGGAATCTCAATTAGTAATCACATGAACAACTACACGATGCTTCTTGCGGATTTGACGTATGTGGATGTCATGATCGAGGATGATGACAATGCATTGTTGTTGTTGAGTTCCTTGCCTGATTAGGAATATGAGACCTTCGTTCTTACCCTAATTAATGGAAAGACATCTCTTTCATATAGTAAAGTTATCGCTGCTCTTGTGAATTATCAGCTAAGGAAGAAGGACAAGGAGTCTTTAAATGATACAATAGCAGAGGCATTGACCACAAGAGGGAGAAATCCTAACCGAAAGAATGGGAAGTTGTAGTCTAGAGTAGGGCATCCTACATTTGGTAAAGATTAGTACGCTTGGTATAAAGAGACTGGTCATTGGAAGAAAGATTGTCTAAAGCTCAGCGAATGGATGAAGAACAAGCAGAAGGGAAAGGGAAAACAACCATCATCAGAAGTAAACAATGTCGAATCGGATGGTAACATTTCTGACTCATCTGTTTTTTCACTTTCTATCAGTCCCACATGTTGCTATTCGGAAGAATCCGAGTGGATGTTGGATAGTGGTGAAACCTATCACATGTACCCTAAAAGGGAATGGTTTTCTAGTTTTGAGAAGCTAGATAGTAGTGTGATATACATGAGTGATAACCATGCATGTCAAATCCTTGGGATAGGTAAAATTTGCATCAAGATGTATGATGGGATGGTTAGAGAGTTATATGGTGTGAGATATGTTCCTTCATTAAGAAAGAATCTGATCTCAATTAAAGCTTTAGTTGCAGAGGGTCTAAAAGTTCATATTGAGGGCATGGTTCTCGAGATTATGAAAGTCTCTCTAATTGTGATAAAGGGAGTCAGGAAGAATAACTTGTACTACATGACTGGAAGTACGGTGATAGGTGGAGCGCTTACGACTTCTATTTATTCGGCTAGACTATGACATTTGAGGCTGGAACATTCTAGTGTTAGTTCCTTGCAAGCTTCAGATATGTAAGGATTGGTGAGAGATGCTATGACCTGTAATTTGAAGTCCTGTGAGCTTAGTGATATGAGCAAAAAGACCAAGGTGAAGTTTGGCATCTCTATTCATCGAGCTAAGGGCCTTCTAGATGATGTTCACGTGGGCGTTTGGGGGCCTTCCAAGGAGGCATCATTGGGAGGTAATAGGTATTTGGTTTCCTTTATTGATGACTGTTCTAGGTATGTTTGGGTTGCAATTAAGTCCCATTTGAGTAAAGTCCTAGTAGTCAACAACAGGTGGAAGAAGTGTATAGAGAACAGAATAGACAGAAAGGACAAAGTACTCTGTTTTGATTTTGGTGAGAAGTACAAGAGGGATCCATTTCTGCATTTGTACCGAGCTCAAGGCAGTTTGAGATGCTTCATTGGAAAGGAAACATTAGGGCAATGAGATGAGGTGGCAAATTTGATGAGTTGTTCCTTGCTGGAAAAGGATCAGTGTTTGGTGTCAAGTAGTAGTTTGAAGAAGAGTTTTGGTACTGAGGCTTTGACATATTAGAGCCATCTTATTCATAGGTTGTCGTCTGCTGCGATTGGAGTATTTGGGTCTGTTAGAGCTGCTTCAGATTTTTGTTTGCTTTAGATATTTGGGTTCCCAACATATTATCACATCGAGGATTTGAAAATTGATCCGAATGCATATTTGGAATTCAGAGGTGTGTTTGGCTACATGTTATGGGACTCTGTTTTTAAGAAGATTGTTCTAAACAGTAATGACACGTTTGACTCTCAACAGGTGGAGAGTAATGCTACTTCACGTTGGGTGAAGATTACTCCACGTTCTCCATATCATTCCGTATCATTTGGGATTCCAGCTGAGGTGATAGATTAGGGATCATGTTGATGTAGATACAGATGATGAGTTTAAAGATCAGAATTCGAGTGCAGCAGGTGCACATAGTTCAGATTTGGCTATGGTTGTTGGCTCACCTCAGGTGGAGGTGTATGCTAATTGTGTTTCTTCTACATATAGGGTTGATGGGTTAAGCTCCAAGAAAGATTTAGTGTGTAGAGATACAAGTTTGGAAGAGAGTTTGTCTTTTCACTTTGAGGCCAACAGGGGTGTTATTAGCTGTAGATTTGTTAGTGTTGACAGTCGGAAAGTTGGAGAAGGATTAAAATCCTTCTAGTTGATTGATGTCATTTACGGCCATTTGGGTGAACTTTATGAGGCTTGATTCATTGGGCAAGAGGATACGTAGGCAGTTATTTTGATACAGCCAGTTTGATTTGTTAATACCGACATATTGGAGTTTGTTCGCATTCTTGTTTCGGTTCTCGACTTGTTGTGGATTGAGTCTGTTATCATGAATTGTTTCCACTTCATACTGGACGCAACAAGTAGGACGTTTGGTTGGTATTGGTGTTGGTTCGGTTTTGGGAAAACTTCACCGAGGTGGAGAATTGTAGAAATGGTGAAAACGGGGTTGAAGTTCAGGAAATTTGACGAAGGAAATAGGTTTGAGGTTTCCCGATCGACCGCGACCAAGGGTACAGTCGACCGGAAACGTGCACGCAACAGGGTAGTTTTTGGATCTCTGGTCGGTCGAATCTGCCGCGACCCCCGTAGATATCGATTTGGTTTTCTGCATCTGTCCGAGTTGATCGCGTGGTATCGCGTCGACGCCCAGTCGGGTTTAGGCCTGATTCTGGTTTCCTGTTCTGATTGGGTTTGTGTTTTGATATATATTAAAACATGTTTTTTAGGGTTTAAGCAAGGTTGAAAAAGGGGTTATTTAGTGCATAGAAAAGAGAGTTTTCTGAGCAATTTGTTTGGGGTTTGTGTGAGAGATTTTAGGGCTTTGTTTGAGAGATTTTGAGTGATTTTGTAATCTTTATTTGTACACTCTTCTCTATTAGTGAAAACTCACCTTCTTCTTGCCCTGTGGAGGTAGGTAACTTGCCAAACCATGTAAAATTCGTTGTTTGTGTTCATGCTGTTAATTTTGTGTTTGTGTGACCTTCTCCCTCAGCGACTTTGTATTTCCTTAGACCCCAAAAAGAGGCTTCAGAGCCCAACACCCAATTGTTGCTGAAGCACTTCTAACAATTGAAAATTAGGGCTTACAACAATTCATCAAAACAAACAGTACATCTGTAATTTTTAGCCTTCAAAAGATCATTATGGTTTCTATTGCAAAAGGTTTGGAATTTCATTTGCTAAAAGATAGTGCAACATGGCATAAGGAACACATCCATTAAAAAGAGTTTAGAAAAATTAAGTAATATTTCAACTGGGAGGACCTATTGTAGGTGTAAAAAATTGCCTATAGCTTCCCACATGTAGTTCGAGATAAAATAAAGGCGACAAACAACATCATGAGATTATCTGATGCTAAGACGAAATAACGAACACATAAAGCGAGTCGGTGAAATGTACAAATTCGTGAAACGAGAGAAC